TAATGATTTATGTTCTTTATCAATTGTTGATGAACGATGTCGAATTGAAGATCTTGATCGTGATGTACGATGATATTTCCTACTTCTTTTTGAATGTCTAACAAAAAAAAGTAGTCATGCAATTTTTTTTTATTTTTCAGACTTTTTTGATGATGTTCCATCATGTCTATGTTTATGTCGACTAGATGAATGTTTATTATCTCGTTCACTATTTGATCGATACGATGATGAACGTTTTCTAAATAGAAAATTCCATGAATTATTTGTTATGTTTAAAGATACAAAATACCATAAAGACAGACAAAAAAAACGATAGAAAAAGAAAAGATTTATTGTTTGATGTTCATCGACGTTGAATTAACAATTTGAATACATAATTGAATTTCTTTAAATTGAATACACATAAACATGCATTGTCATATAAATTCAATAAAAACTTGATTAAATATAAAGATATTTTTAGCTGATCTCTGAAAATAAAGAAAATAATTATAGATTTGGATAAATAAAATAAGACGAGAGAATTTCTCTTTACTTTTTCGAGATAGGAATTTCTATTCGTATAGGTTTTAGTTTTGTATAATTATATATAAGAATAGAGAAATTACGAAATTGCCTTGTAATTACTGGAATTTCTAAAATAATTTCATATGTCTGGTGGATAGGATTTACTATTTGTTATGGATTTTATTCTTCATCTAAACATATAAAGATTAAAGAAACTAGAAATATGTTTTATATATGTGAGTAATTCCAGTGTTTACTAAATTGAATGAGCATATACATAAACTTTTTTCATCTCAAATTTCTCTTCTATTATTCCTATTTGAACTTTAAATATTAGAATTTTAAGTTTAAGTATATCGTTCAATAGTAACCTACTAATTGAAGAATCAAGATTTATTCTTACCAGTAATAGATGATAAATAAGTTTGTGAATCATATATAACTGTTGTGTGAAATTATTGCAAATAATAAGATTAATTTTTGTATAACAAATGCGTAAATGTTGATGATTGTCTAAAAGAAGAACGGGACATTCTTTTCATTGAGAACATTTAGCGCAAACAAAAATACATGCAAAACACACAAAAAATCAAGATAAAGATAAAGAAAACTTGCTTACTGACTTAGCATTGTTTAATAATTAATCCACAATACAATATGTAGATATTGATAATAAGAATTTGGAATAGGTGTGTAGTTTTGTAATATGAACTGTAGACAAATGAGCAAAGATTAAGTAAGACATTTCTTTCGAAAGAACATGAGTCAATTTTTACTAAGTCACATTATGGCAAATAGAGAGCGCAAGCATACAAATCATAAAATTCATTTTTTGTTTGTATATAAACCTCGGAATAAATCAGTATCAGATGATTTATCTAGTGTTAAATGAAATGTTTTTCTAAGAATATTTTATTGTTTTTCTTGCTTGTATATCATCAAATAAAAAGTACAAGAGAAAAACATAGTGTTTGAATGAACAGAGTTATAAGAACTCATATTCTTCAACACACTTATATACGCAGAAGTCTTGTTTGTCAAGAAAAGAAAAAGAAAAAAAGAATCAAAATGTAATAATGACAATAATCGTGATGAAAAAAGAAAGAATTTACATGTTTCATTTGAACCATATAGTAAGACCAGAAATTTAACGATTTTCGATGTGTGTTGTTACATCAATTTCATCGGGCATTTCACTAATTTGTACTTTCAAAAGACTTTGAACTTCATTCAAAATTTCTGTCTCACTTTCATCTGCAACAAATGTTACTGCTAAACCTTTTGTACCAAATCGACCAGCACCAATAACCTAAAATTAAATATTTAATAATAAAGAAAAAGAAAAATTCTTCGAATATACTCGATGAAGATAAGTATCAGCATCTTCTGACATATCATAATTAAATACAATATTAACTGCTGCAAAATCCATATGAAAGCCAATTAAATCTGTTGCAACAAGAATACGTTTTTTAAATTCTTTAAATTCTTTACAACGTTGTAAACTAAATAGAAAGCAAAAATATTTTTTTATTAAATTATTTAAGTTAATAAATAACGAACCGTTCTTCTTTAGGCATTCGACGATGGATTTCAACAGTAGAAATATTTTGTTCAGTTAATAATTTAGATAATGCTTTACAACGTCGTCCTGATTCAACAAAAATAATCATTTGATTAAATTTTATTTTATTAAGTAAACCAATTAATTTTGCATTTTTCTCATATTCATTCAGTTTCACATAATATTGACGAAGACCATGAAGTATTAATTTTGTTTCATCTTCAGAATAAATCTTCACGGTTTACAAAAAATAAAATTTATTATTATTATTTTAATAATAAATAAAACTAACCTTCTGGTTTGATTCATTATGATTTTTATCGTTTTGTTTCATTGTTATGACTAATTTTTCTATAATATTCAAAATTTGTTGTTTTTCTAGTTGTTAGTGCTGGTGTTGTTCATCTTGTTGTTGATGCTGGTTTTGTTCATCTTGTGCTGGTGTAAAGGTCTATTAAAAAAAAGTCAAATAGATGATGAGTCATCATATCAATATCTAATGGTCAGCCAGTCAGCAAGCACAATAATACATTAGCTGTCGCTAAATGTCTTAACATTTTCTATATTGCCAATATATAAAGATAATACATAATAAAAATTGGTTTTTATATTATCCATATAGAAATATAAGGATTAAAAAAAAAACCATTTTCTATATTATCAGTAAAAAATAAATGCGGAAACTTCGGATTTAAATCCGAGAGTTATGTGTACTTCAAAAAGTGAATCATACGAATCAGTCATCCTAGAATATCTCAACATCAAAATTATACTGGGGAACCTACCATTTAAAATGTTGATTTCTATTGCGCGTTGCCAAACCAATAGGACATGGGACCGAATACAGCTCAAGTTTGAACTCTTTTCCTTGATTTACCCTAACAAAGACGTTTTTCCTATAACTTGATTTCCATTGGTCACTGCACAACCAATAGTATTTCGATGGAAGTACAGTACACACTCGAGTTCTCCATCTCTGAAAACCTCGAAGTATCATCAATGTGATCGGAAGATAGAGCTCTGTTTATGGATCAATTAGATCGTGGACCAAAATATAACCTAGTTCTCTTTAATTATCCTTGTGATAGATAAGTCAATCTTCTTGCTTCTTTCTGTTTTATATATCATTTTGTAGCTCTTGAAATTCTCTATCGAATGGTATATAATAGTTGGGGTTTTAATTGACTATGATAGGAAAAGTCTTTTACGAAAGTCACGATGGGTCCATTTTTCCACAGAAGGCTATAGGGAAAAATAGGTATTTTTTCAATAACTCAGGAATGGCTCGGCCGGTTCTTCTCATCTACGAACTCGACCGAGATATTGTCAAGACTAAGCTGTGTAGAAAGTTTCATCGCAATCTGACTCTGCTGTCAAAAGTTATCATGTAAACAGCCAACCGGGCGGACGAACACACTGACTATTCTATATAGTGTACTCACTTTTTGAGTACACAAAACTGTGATTCGGTTCAAAACTAATATCAGATTCAGAATCAGCGTTAAAAACTGAATCGATTTATGTATTTTGTGAATAATTATGAGCAAAAAATGTTTTTTTCGAAAAATCCCCGTACCCCCCCTCAGGGATGGTCTGGTCAAAAATCACAATTTTTTCGATAACTCAGCCATTTCTTGACGGATCCTTCTCATCTTCGAACTTGACCGAGATATTGTAAAGACTGAACTGTGTAGAAAATTTCATCGTGATCGGACTCTCCTTTCGAAAGTTATCGTGTTAACGGCCGGACATACTGACCGATTCTAGTAGTGTACTCAATTTTTGAGTACACTATAAATAATAAAAAATATTATCCACACAACTCAATTTTCTTTATTAATTACTTTTCTTTATAGCAAAACTAATAGAATAAAAAGTTCTTGAATAATTAAAAGAATATGATAGGTCTATATGGCGA